TTATTTTCTCCAGGAATGAATTGTGTAGATCTCGTTCTAGCACTACAAAAGTATCATCTACTTATATCTTAACCATATTTTAGGAGTGAGTATGCTTGAAAAGATGTTATTTTCGAATTTATTCATGAAAAGATCAACAACTCTTGGGGAGACTGGTGAACCCATAGCAACACCCAACGCCTAAATTTTTTTTCAAACTGTTCAAAGTGTACTTGGTTTGGACATATATATATATATATATATATATATATATATATATATATATATATATATATATAGCATAGGTTTATAATATCAAAAAGACATCTCTTGATTTTTAAAGACTTTCTCCAATCATATGAGTGTCATGAAACAGGCATCAAAACGCATGTTGATGAAAAGTCTCAAATTAGGACGAAACAGATGTGGACTTCTCTAACTGAAATCAGCTCATGATGAAATCCTCCCAACCAATCAAAATTGTACGAGCTATGATCAAAATTTGTCCTCAGACTTCTTACAAATATTAGTCTACTTTTGTTAAATACTTTAAACAGTGTACTTTTCGAGTTGATCACGGATTGATATCAGTTAGAGAACCATTGAAAACCAGGGAGTACTGGACAGCTGCTGTTTCATCCTAGTTTGGGAATCATCGGCAGTACGAACCCACTGGGTTTCGAACCCAGGACCTTCCGGTTACAAGGCAAGCTCGTATACCATTCAGCCACTGGGACCCGATTCAATGGCTCGTGAATTCTAACTTTTACCAATTCGTGATTTAGCGCGACCCCAACCATTGTCGTTGGTGGGACATCCATCCACACACGTGACATCTAATTGGACCTCACTGGTCACGACTTCTCACTAGAACTCAGGAAACTCCAACCTGTAGCAAGTCACTAGCGAGCATCAGATTAACTTTCTATAGTTTTTGGTTTGTAAGGATTAGAAAGTTAATCTGATGCTCGCTAGTGACTTGCTACAGGTTGGAGTTTCCTGAGTTCTAGTGAGAAGTCGTGACCAGTGAGGTCCAATTAGATGTCACGTGTGTGGATGGATGTCCCACCAACGACAATGGTTGGGGTCGCGCTAAATCACGAATTGGTAGAAGTTAGAATTCACGAGCCATTGAATCGGGTCCCAGTGGCTGAATGGTATACGAGCTTGCCTTGTAACCGGAAGGTCCTGGGTTCGAAACCCAGTGTGTGCGTACTGCCGATGATTCCCAAACTAGGATGAAACAGCAGCTGTCTAGTACTCCCTGGTTTTCAATGGTTCTCTAACTGATATCAACCCGTGATCAACTCGTAAAACATAACTAATCCTTACAAACCAAAAACTATAGAAAGTGTACTTTTCATCAGAATTTTAGTGAGTGCGTTCAGCTAAAAGTTTATGGTTGTAGATAACTGAATACGAAATCATATATGTATATGCGGTCGGTATATAATGGTGTGTGTGTGTGTGTATGAAGCAACAACTGTAAGTTACTTGTTGGCCTCTCCAAGGTCTTTAGAACCACCTTTAGATATTGTCTATGCCCCTTCACTGTTATATTTATTTGCCTGTCTAGCAGTTTCTCCTATACATACTGAGTCACATTCCTCACGGTTTATCTGGTACACACAATTCTGTTGGTTTTCTTCTTATTTTTAATCCTTAACCTTCATCAGTGATGAGTACAAGGTGTTAGTTACACGAAAATCCACCCTTATGTCATGATTATTAGGGATTCGCTTTATCTCATCCGATGTTTCCTTGCAGTAAGGAATCACCAGTACAGTACTAACCCACTTCTTAGCATCAGATTTCGATCCATCCTCATCTTCAAGTTTTAAATATCTTTTTACGAAGGCTTTAGGATAATAATTTGATTCAAGAGTGGAATGAACCAATTTTAGTTCCCTGCTGATCTCTCCTTCCTAAGTAACTAGACGTTTGACTCTGTTAATTAGATTTTTGAACACAGTTACTTTGGTGGTAAAGGAGTGTGTTGAATAGTAGTCTAGGCATCTGTCCAAATTCGTTGGTTTTCTGAAAATTTTTATTTTAAGTTTACCATTTAGTTTTCTCTTTACTAAACAGTTCAGGAAAGTCAAATGTCTCTCTCGTCGGATTCAACCTCTTTGGAAAGCTTGATGTTATCTGACATATCGTTCATTCAATGAGAAAGTTCATTCAAAAAGCTGGGTTTGGTTATGAAGTAGATATCATCCACGTGTCTTAACCACATCTCATAATTGCATTTGTTTCTAATGTGTGCATAAATAGATTGACTACAAGCAGAGACACTGATTATCCTATAACAATAACTTCTGTTTGAAGGTAAAGAACCCCTCCAAATGTAAATAACGTCGAGAGCAGACACTTTCATAATTTCGTCTCGATTTAAAGGACAAGGAGGAGTGAGTTCGTCATCAGAACAAAGTAAATTATAAATAAGACTTAAAGAATCATTAACGGGAACATTTGTGAATAATGAAAAGACAACGAAACTTGCCATTACTTCATCTTCTTCACTATGAATCACATTGATTTTTCGCTTAAATTCATACGAATTCTTCACTCAATGTTCCACTTTCATTTCAAATGGGCTTAGTATTCTACAAATGTATTTGGAGAGTTTGTAGGCTGGGGAGTTGGATGTAATGGAACTGCTGGTTTGTGTAGTTTTAGTAATTCATAAAAATCTACAGGGGCTGCAACTATTTTGGAGCCAGAGTAAACCAAAGTGATATACCGAGTTTCTCTTTTTGGTAATTGACTGTAACATTTTGCTTGTTTCAGCCTTCAGCTTATTCACTTATTCACTGTTGCCCTTGACTTTTTCATGTTGAGTTTTCCATCAGGTCCGACATTAAGACGATCAGTAGCCTTTTTTTTCTCCATAATCTGCAGGGATCATGACAACCGTAGCATTGTCTTTATCTGTTCTTGTAATGATAATGGATCTATCTTTCTATAATTGCAGAGTAAATAATTCCTTGAATATTATCTCTTTGACAACTGTTGTGGATAAAATTTATTTTGATAAAGTCGCACAGTGTTTGTTATACAGCAATATATTACTGATGATGACCACACGCTTCGAGTGCAATTTATCGCTGCTCATCGTCATCCTATCGAAGCACTAATCAAACAACTTTCCAACTTCGTTTACGTTGTTTTGATTGTCACAATATAAGAATTTGGCTAGCTGTGGAATGATTGACCGCGAGAAGATAAGTAATCTAGAAAAAAAGCTCAGCAATTGCACTGCATACATTAAAAAACAACCACACAATAGCATGGTGGGAGAGGGTTAAAATTCTAAAAAGCAATCTAGGTAGGTGGAGAACGAGAGAGAGAGGTTGATTACTGAATCCTGGCTGGTTCATCGAGTCTACACCAAACACTTGCAATAGGAATGAGTCATCACTCATACCCGATGTATGGAAAATATTACTACCAATGAAAGCAAGCGATGGAAAATAATGGAATTGTATAAATGAAGTTAGAAAGTTGTGTGAGTAGTGCTTTGATATGATTATGAGTGGTAATAAATTGTGCTCGAAACGTGGTCATCAGTAAAAATTACTGTATAACACACTGTGAGACTTTATCAAAACAAACTTAACCCATAATGGAATTGTACTCTACCACAGTGCACAAGTTTTATTCTTATATCAATAGATAATTGATAGGTTTGATTTCCCAATTAAATCACTGTTAAAGTACTTGATGATTTGCAATAGTGAATGGGATTTTTAACTGAAATAAACAGAGAATGACAGTTTTCAAGAGTTATTTTTTTGTGAACTTGATGTGTTTCAATTTTGACCAGGCAATGATATCAGCTGAAGAACTCAGTAAGAAGACGTAGTTTACCTGAAACGTGTAATGTATTTGTACAACACATTTTGGGCATTCTGGTGACACACGTACTTGTCTTACACAAGAAGACAACAAGGCATGCATAATTACAATACAGGTCAAAAGACTTAAACCTGTTTTCTGTGTCTAAAAGTTATTTGTGATCACTTTAAACCTGCCTTGATAATCCAATTTAGAACCAAGGTCCAATTTACTTCATAATATTTTCAACTCCTTCTTTGCTTTTCTTTTTCTGTTTTTTTTTCTTTCTTACCCACACCTTGGCGTCATCTCCCTACCCATTACTTGTGACCTTGACCTGTACACAATCTGACCTGTATTGTAATTATTCGTGCCCTCTTGCCTTCTATAAAAACTGTGTATGACAAGTACTGGTGTGTGTGATGAGAATGGCCGAAATGTGTTGCGCCAATACATTCCACGCTTCAGGTAAACTACGTCTTCTTATTAAGTTAGAGAACTGCTGAAAACCAGTACGGATTAGTGGACATAACTGTGGTTTGAACTCAGGGTCTTCCATTTACAAGTGGAGCTCGTAAACCATTCAGTTGATTGGATGAGGTTTTTAATGGGCACTTTATGAATTCCCTGCTTTTAGCAAATTGTGATTTCTGTGCGACCGACATTCACTGTTACCGGAAGGTGCCGAATTCGAACCCTGGTGGTGGGTGTGTACTGCCCGGGGAATGCTGAGGTAGGACGAAATAGCTCTGTTCAGTGTTCAGTGAGAGTTATTCAGAGAATGTCTGTACTAATAATTGTGAATGATTAATAACACTGTCCACAACCTTAATTTCGGAGTCTGTCGAGACTATACAACGTACTTAATAGACACATTACAATGACAGAATACAAGAGTATCTGGCAACGAAACTATTTTTTTTTTGAGAAGTCGGTGTAGATATATGGGGAAAATACGCCTACAATAGATTAGAATCACAATTTGCACATGCCTCCCCTTATAGTACTCCTTTTTTTTCTTCATATATCACAGGCACCGTCATCAATAAATCTATCGATCTCTCCACTATTCGATATTTCTGCACCTGATATATATACGAATCTATATATTACTTATAAATTCCATCAGTAACAAATGCCACTATATTATTTGTTTCATTATTTTACCTATCTATCTATTGCAGGAAGTGGAATTCAACAGAATATGCCTACACAGAACGCAGACTCCTCAAACTCTGAACAATGGAGTCAGAATATACTATTAAACAGTCTAACACTATGGAGTATGTTTATGAAAGGTATTCATCAATTGAATAATAATTCTAATCAAAACTGTGATGCTTACAATAAATTAATGTCTGCTGATGAAGAAATGCTAACATTCAATAATTCTTCAATGAAACCGATAGACTTGTCAGTTTTGTCAACAGATACCAATTCAGTGATGAATATATCGCATTGTGAAGAAGTTATCAATAAACTGTCTCCTACAAATCAATCCTATGTAGACAATTCTTACTTAAACTATCATTACTGTGAGTCTAAAGATTTCACATCAGTGTTGAACGCGTTAAACAACTTACTCAGTATGACTAATCCTTACATGAAATCAGTGAATCAACCATCGACAGCAACACTAGCACCACCACCGGCAACAATAACAACAACAACAACGACACCAACACCACCAACAACAAGAACAAGTGACTTCATCTCTGAGCAATGTCAGTTTCCGACAAATCCTTCCACTATATGGAATCCTAATACTACCACTACCACTATCAATAAGTCATTAGTGAATATTTCAAAAACTGAGAAATTGAACATTTCATCGACATCAACATCGTCATCACCATCATCATCATCGTCGTCGTCGTCATCATCATCATCGTGGAGCAAACAGTCGAAATTTTCAATTTTAGAACTTATAAACACATCAAAAGACACAGAAAAGAATTATTCATTATCGGATCAAAATACACCGATAAAAAGAAGTGTGAGTCATGCAAGAAATAAGCGTTTTCGATGTCCAATATGCAGTCATACATTTTCTACACAAAATAGTCTAACAAAACACACAACTTCTATCCATATGATGCCTCAATGTTTGAATCCGATCACTTCACAGAAACATCCTCAGTCAATGATGAAATCATTACCAGTGATGACAACAAGAGTAGAGGATAAAAACTTGCCAAGTATTGTTAGTGAGAAGATCAAATGTCATGAGAATAGATTGGAAAGTATGAGTAGAACACAATCGATCTTGTTGAATAATAAAGATACTGATGCATTGATAGGATTCAATGGGAATTCGACATTTCCTTACATTCATAACACAAGCGGTAACGGTGATAATAACAATAATAATGACGAACATTCAAGTCAGCTGAATTCCTCACTGACTGAACCAATGACATGCACAACGGAAACACAAAATCCTCACAATCATCATCATAATTATGGGCATCCTTATTTCTGTCATTTATGCAATAAAGTTTACTATTCAATGTCTGCATTAAAAATGCATGTACGCACGCATACTTTACCGTGCAAGTGTAATTTATGCGGTAAGGCATTTTCACGTATGTGGCTATTGAATGGACATTTGAGAACGCATACAGGCGAGAAACCATTTGCTTGCATAGTCTGTACAAGAGCATTTGCTGACAGATCGAATTTAAGAGCACATATGCAAACGCATTCGGAAGTGAAACGATATCAGTGCAGTCATTGTGATAGGACATTTTCACGTATGGGATTATTGACAAAGCATCAGACAACATCATGTTTACAGCAGCAGCAGCAGCAACAACAGCAACAAGTTAAAAAGTCGTCGACAAAATCACGTAACACTACTACTACTAATAATAATAATAGTAGTATTAGCAGTAATAAAGTAAATGGATATAATATATTCGACAATAAAATCATACCTGAATCTAAAAAATTGAGAAATATTCATTAAAGCCTATGAATTGTATAAGACAAAAAAGAAATATCATGAATAAAATGATTCTTATCCCTCGACAGTCTTATTTCTTCTAAAATAATTGAATTGTATTCGGTAATCGTAGTGGTATTAGTAGCAGTTTGGCGAAATCTCAGTACGGATCAGAGGGCTAATTTCGCATATGCCCGCCAGTTTACGCCGTTTCTGGCTTAGTAGACGTGATATCCGACTGGCTATCGACCAAAGGGCGGGTGAACTGCTCAGTAGCCGCTCCCTCCTCCTTCATGGCTAGCTATGAGACCTGGCCATTGAAAGTGGAAGACATGAAAAGATTAGCTGTCTTTGATCATAGGTGCCTGTGTTCTATCTCCCGTGTGAACTGGTATAATAACTGAGCAATATCGAGGTTAGGTGTCGAGTGCTACCTAAGTAAGGAGGCGAAATCAATCGACGAGGCTGTGAAGTTACATTGACTGAGATGGTTAGGACATGTGTATTCCTAGTATTCCTAGTCATCGCCTTCCTCGAAGAGCAATGTTAGCTGATTGATATAGGGTCAGGCTGGAAAAGAGCTAGCAGCGGTCAAACCAAAACATGGCCTCGCCAGTCAATGAAATCTACAACAGTTAGATTAAGTCAACCAGTCACGTAGGAAGGTGTAGACTTCCTGGTTGGTTGGGGTCCTCAAGACGGTAAAAGCCAGTGGTTGGAAACACTTGGTGATATGGCTCAAACTCATCGTTCTCAATGGCTGGTGCGGATGCATCCACTCCTTGTGACTTATGTTCTCCAATGAAACTGTTTTGTTCTTCGTTATTACTCTTCCTTTGTCTCACACCTCTGCTTACTGTCTCTATTATGCTTTTCTTGTACTTTCTTCTCTTGCTTTGTGTGGTACATGGAGGGAGTGTGGCGACTTGAACTGGTGCACATCGGTGCAAAGTTCTATGTCGAAAACAGACAGACGGTGGCACTGGTATGTTTTTTAATGCATACTAAGTCAGCATCAACATGTCACAGATGGAAGAAGTGACAATTAACGAAGAAAATTGATATACACAAATAAAGGGTAGAAATGGTTGCAACAAATGGTCTGTATTATGCACACAATCTTGGAGAAATGAAGAGTGATTAAGGTATAAGCCAGTGTTCAAGTCGATTATGTAACGTAAAATTCAAGAAAAAATAGAACAATTTGGACAATTATAATTTTAGGAGTTGGACGAAGTATTCCTGTTTATACGTTCTTGTAATTATAGCCAAAGTAAGGACAGTGGTTGTATAAATTTCTTCTGAATATACACACAGGTTTGGCTTCTTCAGGTGGATTCCGATGGTTTCAGCTGTATGTAGAAGACGAACTCGTAAAGTAAATTAAGATTAGTAGAAATGAGATAAATAATTCTAAATGCTGTACTAACATCAACTTTATGCTTACTGGCTATCCCAGAAGTGTGCTAAAATAGAGCTACGAATAGATCTTGTTTGTCCCTGCTTAACCACTATGCAGCATGATGTTTGGAAATACAGTGATAAAGCTGCCTAATTGTACGCCCAAATGTAGCTGGTTGATTGCGCAGCTGCAGTCAAGTCGTTGGATACATGCATAGGAGGTGATATTAGGAAGGTTGTACTTATTTCTCAAATGTGATATAGGGGCGGTAGTGAAGTGACAAGGTGCCATCTCTGCTGCATTAAATACTCGTTTCACTGCATTCTTCAGGCGCTCGTTGTGTTGCTATTTCGCTGATGCTATCACTGGGGAAGTTACGTTTTATATGAATAATGGGTGTTCTGGAGCTGTGACTATACTCACTCTCCTTGGTGTTAAATTCATATTTTTCTCAAAGAAATTATCTGGATAACCATTTTTACTGAGTGCTTCTCTAATAATCTTAAGCTCCTCATGGAGGCAGTCGTCTGAATAGGCTAACCTAGCTCTGTGAACCAGACAGACTCTTCATCAAGTTATCCTTATATTTCAAAGGTATAAAACTTCAAAAATGAGTGTAATGACCTGTTGTTGTGGGTTCCCTATACACAGTCCTTCATTTCTTAGTACACCGTCTTCTTTAATGGCCAGGAGATATCTAGAAATTAGATACTTTCATTACTTCCCTTCTCTGTGGTGAAGTTTGTTTTAGCTGAATACACACATCACTGAACGTGTCGAGGGTGTTCATTGCTTCATTCTCGTCACTTGATTGGTAAAATGTTGTGTAATGCATTTAAGAAAAATGATATACATAATATATTATATAATATTACATAATATTAGAATAGAGCCAGAGTGAGATGAGGACCTAGTTGAAAAGTTAATATTTCTAAATGTCTAAATGAGGATTTTTGTTCATACTACTGATAAGGTTTAATATGTAGAATAAAGGTCTATTTGTTCCGAAGACATTCTAAGCGAGAACGGATATCCAGAGAAGTTCATTAAAGCCAACATAGGTTACACTAGTCGTAAACATGAACTGGTAACTGTGGAGAAAAAAGCCTTTGTTTTTACGTCTCCAATTCAAGGGAGATACTCCTGCGGAGATTCTATCCCAACGTTTAACCAGGGCGATCAAGAAAACTTTCTACTCTGCACATCTTTGTCTATCCTTCACTAGCCGTCCAATGTTCACCCAGCAACTCAAAGATGTCTTACCTAACCTTAGCTCTTTTTCATGCATATACCATTTCAACTGTTCCTGTGGTTCAAGTTATATAGGGCACACGATTAGACAGGTTCGTCTACGGGTTCGAGAACACTTACCAGCTTGGTTCAGCAGGGGGAGAAATTAAGTGCATAAAAAGCTTGATCCTGTCACACTTGGTCGATACTGGACATCACATCGATGTCAACACAGCTTTCAGGGTTATGTACCGAATTCCGAAGTCGTTATCACGTACAGTTCGCTTACACATAGCTGAAGCTGTTGCAATAAGATCGACTAAACCGGAACTCTGTATCCAAGAAGAACACGTCCAGACGCTGTTCCTACCGTGGCCAACCATGGATTGAAGATTTTTCTTCTCACCAAGAGTGCTCCTTCCCCTAAACCCTCTTGGTTTTGTTGTTGTTGTTGTTTTTTACTTTGCTTTATATTATAAATATTATGATTACAGTTATTATTATTCGTCATAATTTATTCCATTCACGGGAACATTCCCTCAATACTATCGAATTTTCATTTAAACGGACTGATTATTGGTGGTATTATCTGTTTTCTCAATATATGCCTCCACCTGTTTCATTTAACATATTCGTTATCTCACTATGATCCTCTCATTCCAGTCTTACTATATCAACTGTTTAACTCAGACCACTTTATACCAGCCACTCACATGACACCTTTTATAACCTTGAACTGACTTGTCAATTTTCCTGCCCCACACTCTACAATTCTATTATGAACGATTAATCACCACCATTGTCTCCCGTTTTACAATATTTCTAATCGATTTCAGCCTAGCACGTTTGTCACACAAATATGACTATTTATTTTGACACCCCATAACTAATCTGTTATTCTACGTTAAAAATGTATCCGCCGCATAACTGGCCTTTATTGTAACGACCACAAATAATATATTTTATAATTGTAAGAACCTGAAGGGAAATTATTAAAAAGAATATTCTTCAACTCAGATTGACTTTTAATTCGTAATATCAAATCTTATATAAATACGCATAAATCATCTGCAAGAATATCTAGTAATAGAAAGAGACGGATGGGCTAAATGAAGGAGAGAAGAACTGCTTGAACGATGCTTGTGAAACAACAACAACATGGTAAACACGAAATAAAGAATTCATTCTCAAAAGCAGCTGTAAAATCACATTAATATATGCAAGCATCAGTTTGCATAGGTACAAGTAAAATCATTTGATTCTACACAAATAACGAAGGGGGAGATTAAAGGTGATGATCACTTTCAACTTGATATAAAAGTTTTAAAGGTGTCAGTACAGACTACAAGGGGCTTAGAAACAAAATAACACAGTATTAAAAAGTAGTTCCGTAATATGTGAAATATGTGCTGAAGAGTCCCAAACTAGGACGAAACATATGTCCAGGTTTTCCAGTGGTTCTCTGACTGATTTCAGCTCCTGATGAAATCCTCCATGCAATCAAACAGAATCCCTACAAAGTCAATACTTGAAAATATGTGAAATAGTAGTGTGTTTTTTTTTCCAAAGAAGACAGATATGTGAACGGGATGAGCATGGAAACAAACTGAAATCTCAATTTGTATAAATTTTGAAAAAAAGGCTAAAAATAAGAACTCCAACTAAACTAGATACATGATAGTAAATGTAGAGATTGGAATAGTTTCTTTTGAACACACAGCTCCGGCTTTTCATTGCATTTGGCAAGGGATTCTGTAGTAGAAGAAGTTGGAAACACACTGCCTTTGTTGGATGTCTATTTACTTTGTAAATGACTCCTCTGAGTGATGGATCACTCGATATGTTGTGATAGGTGTTCACTCATGGTGCTTCTTATTGAACCAGCGCCTTCTCTTTGTAGCATTGCTGGGTAATGTTCTTTAATAGGTTTTGGCAGGACCCGCGTAGAACGACCTATTTACCCCGCTCCACACGAGCAGATGCATACTGAAATGGTCATATACGAAAGTCTGTCCTTTACATTGCCCCGATGCAGCGAGCGGCTGGAGAATATCACTCTTAGAGTCGCTGCAAGAAGAGTCTTCCTTAGGGAACTAGAGATTTTCCACTTAAGGATATCTGCAGCTAAGTCACTGCTGCAAATTCTTCTGGTACGGTGTGCCAGGAAGATGACGAGAGCTGTTTTTCGACTGATAGGTAACCAACTGTAGAAGTTTATCAGTTGGTCATTCCATGATGGTTTTCTCTGGATAGTTCTTTTCAGAATTCCACCATAGCTTCTTGTCAATTTGATGTCCAGAAACGGAATCTTTGATTCATTTCCAACTTCCATTGTGAGCTTGATTGAAGAATGGCAGACGTATTCTCGGAACTGCGGGTGTTCATCAGTTGAAAGTTGAAACACAATATGACTTCTTCAAGATCTGTTCCTGTTTAGCTCCACAACATGGGAACTGATTGCATCAATAGGATTAAGTGTATGACACTT